CTTCTTCAAATTTTGTATCAGGAAGTTCATATGATGGGCATAGGAAGCCATAAAGAAAGGCAAAGATCTTTAGGAAATCTTTAATGGATGGGGCTTGCAGAGACTTCATGGACACACTACACACATTACCATTTTCTGTAAGAAACTACAATCATTTTTATGAAGCATGGAAAATTTTGGGTTAGAAAAAATATTGGAAACAAAACACTTAATTCAGAGAATTTAAATTACAGAATACCTCATAGAGCTGTCGGATACATTGCTGAATGAATGCTTTATCATTAAGTGGTCTTGGATCCTTGATTTTTTCAGAACTGGAAAATATACCAAGTTGACTATTCCTGGATCCATGTCCGCTAGTCCTAAAAGAATATGTTTAGAAGGCAATCAAAAGTATTTCCTTCTATGTTTAAGTCTGCATTATTCAAGGCTATCCATAACAAACAGCTGTAATAACAACATCAACCTTTAATTTTTAAGTAACTAAACACAATGTATTACTTAAAGCAGCGGGAGAGGATAAGGAGGCTACAGCAGTTTGTTTTAGGCATAAAATGAGGAGGGAATAAAATGCGCTTCTGGGACTGGGATCTATCTCAGTGTTTTGTTCAGGTCCTGGGGAAGAGCAGGCAGTGCTCTTAACTGCTAAGCTATCTCTCCAGCCCTCCCCCACTTTTGTTTTTTTCTAGATAGGGTTTCTCTGTATAATATTGTACTCACAGAGATCCACCTGCTTTTGCCTCCTAAGTGCTGGGATTAAAGGTGTGCATCACACAATTCAAGACTGTTGCTTTTTTTTTGGTTTTTCGAGACAGGTTTCTCTGTTTTGTTTGGGAGGCTGTCCTGGAACTCGCTCTGTAGACCAGGCTGGCCTCGAACTCACAGAGATCCACCTGCCTCTTAAGAATTTGGGATTAAAGACGTGTGCCACCAACGCCTGTGATTGTTGCTATTTTAAATTGAGTTTGTATTTGACATTTTCTTGGATTAATGTCTAATGTAATTAATACTGACAGATCTGGACCATAAAACAAACGCTCAGGAGTCATCATTAGCCTTCAGAGGGTAAAAGCCTCAAATGTGGAATGAGAGGATGGCTACTCTTTTACCGTCTGACTGTACACTTGGCCATTGCCTTACAACGATGCAACAGTGGTCTGAACCTGCTCAGTCTCTAACATCATAAAAAGCAGATACCACCATCTAAAACAGGAAAAGTGGATCGTAGCTTCTGTCTTGAAAGCACCGTTACAATACAATTTTCTTTTTTTGGTCTCAGGGAATCAATGGATGGCTATAAGAGCCTGTGCCTTGGCCGGGTGGTGGTGGTGCACACCTTTAGTCCCAGCACTTGGGAGGTAGAGGCAGGCGGATCTCTGTGAGTTTGAGGCCAGGCTGGTCCGACAGCCTCCAAAACAATACAGAGAAACCCTGTCACGTAAAACCAAAAAAAAAAAAAAAAAAAAAAGAGCCTGTGCCTTAAATATATTTAAAAGCTTGGTTACCTTTTGCCAAATATTGAGACTTTTCTTTCAGATGTAGGTTTGTTTGTGCTCAGCTTTCCAAAGGTGGTTCTCTCTTTGCTTGAAAGAAAAACAGAAAATAACTCTAAAGCAAACATACAGTTCAAGTAACTGTGGAATTATGCTAAGCGAATACCTCTTTTCCACTACCCATAGCAATTTCTCAAAATCATAGGTTTTGGTAGCTGCTTTCACTGGAATGAGCTAAAAGATGACATAATGGTAAAATGTTAAAAAATTTAATCTACATCTTTTTAATCTTAAAACTTCTTTATGTATGGATAAGAATTTTAAGGAAAATAAAAAAATAATTATAGGTTGACAGCGTTATGCTTTAATTTTTTTCTTTTAAAGCCTACTTTTTAAATTTTGAGATAGGGTCTTAGTCTATATTCCAGGATGTCCTAGGATTCACTATGTAGTTTAGGTTGGCCTCAAATTCCAAATTTTCCTCAGTTCTTGTACTAGGTACAGCCATTTGTCATATTTTCTGAACTCTTAAAAAAATGGCAAGTGAAGTATTTCTTCTAACACAATCCAATGCACAAAATTTTTTGATGTAAATAATGTGCAAAGGTAAAAGAAAATGTGCTTCAAGTATCAGGAAGGAAAATATGTAAATGGTTCAAATTTCTAAAAGTAAGAGGCTCAGGCAACATAATTCTAAGTAATTTAAGAATGGCTTATTAACTAGTTTAGATGTAGACATTAAAGGATGTGGGTAAACAGTGGGTTAGAAACATCATCACTCAGAGTGAAAAACTAATGTTTACGATAACAATTTCTTTGGTTGGTTGCTTTGTGAAGTATGTCTTGTTGGCCTTGAACTCACATCCAGCCATTATCTTCCTGGAGCTTTTTGAATACCAGGATTACAGGTGTGTATGACCACACTCAGCCATGACAGCAAGTTCATTTGGACACCCTTCTCTCTCCAAACTTGAGGAAATAATTTTATAGCCCATCATCAAAACAAATAATATCGCTTTGATTTTATTATTGCCTTTAGTACCTGGAAACATTTTAGTAAATTAAGTTATACCACAGTGCCTGCTTAAACAGTTAATTATAAAGTAAAAGAGGAAACCAGGGAGCGTTAAAAGGGTATCAACAATCCTTTTATAGTATGCCTAATAAAGTACCTGACTTTGTGAATAGAGAAACAGTGAGACCAACCAAACCACCTAGCACTTTTAGATTTTTTCTTTTTTTAAATTTTAAATTAGAAACAAGCTTGCTTCACATGTCAATTCCAGCTCCCTCTCCCTCCTCTTCTCCCCAACCCTCCCATCCCATCCCCCATCCCCTCCCCAGGAAGGGTGAGGCCCTCCACGGGGGATCTCCGAAGTCTGTCATATCATTCGGGTGGTGTCAGTGAGGAAGCACTTTTAGATTTCATTGATGCCCAGTCTAGTACTATGAGAAAGAGACAAGATCACTAAGGTATCACTTACACCTTTGTGTTATCTAGTTCTGACATTGCCTTTGCCCTAGACAGTAAAGTATGCAGTTGAGAACCATACGTGGAGACACTTACGTTTGAGGGGTATGAAGGCCTGGTTTATTGAGGTCCAGGGATCTTAACTCCTGTATGGAGAGGCGGCCAGCTCCACCGGTGGAAACTGAACTGCGCTTCATGCTTATAGCCTAATTCATAATTTCAATATTAGAAACAAACAAACAAAAAAAACCGTTCCAGATGCAAGTGGTTCCTTAAGCAACAATTAACCATTTTTATCCTGGATTGTAGAAAAGCAACCAAGATTGTTTGTATTTGTTTTCCATGTATACTTAAGTCCTTACTACAAAGAACACCTATGCAACTTCAAGTATTGGATACACTCAAATAAAGCAATACAAAAAACGAACAATATATGATTCCTGTACCATAAGGCATAACGACAAAATTCCTATGTCAGCCCTGACCACATCATTGCTATAGCTTACATCTATTTCAACGGTAACTCACAGACGGCCTGACAAGAAGTCTCAGGCTCCTTTTTACTCCTTTGGCTTCTAAAAAGGGGGTTTTTAGAAGTTTTCTGTCTTCATAACGTCTGTTAATTACCATGTGTGAGAGCAGACCACAAGATATACAACAAAACCCACTCAAAGAGTTTTATTAGTAAAGAGTAGGGAGAGGGGGTGTGTGCAGGACTGTCTGGAAGAAGTGTGGGGAGACAGGAAGCGAGGCCGGCGTGCCTGCTCTTAAAGGTCACTTAGCGCAGGCATATGGGGGGGCTTATGCAGTCAACCCCAGAAATGCTAACACCTGGGCTGCTACGTGGGTGGCCATGTGACACCCTCCCTCCCCCTGGAAATGACAACATCTACCTGACTTGCTTTGTGTGTTTAAACCAACGTTTCTCAGTCAGTACTACCGTCTTTCTGGGTTCAGTCTCCCTGTTAGCAAAGACAAACAATCAGGCCCACCACACGCTGCACACAGGCTGCTTCCACTTCCGAAAACATTAGAATCATCTGCACGCCTACGTCGGAGCCTGTCTCCATCTCTACAGGGTTAAGACACTAATCCACGCAGTCTTTGCGGGTCCTGCCCTGGCTTCCTTTGAGGGTTAAGACAGGTCTCACTTTATCGTTTGTTTTGCTTGAGCTGGGGGGGGGGGGGACGACGGAAAGGCACGATCCGCTGTGCACTGAGCCACACCCCTTCTTCTTGTTCGGCTGCTAGCAGCATCCCACCGAGATTGTGCTCAAGACTTTCAGCGTTCCCAGACTCTTCTCCTGACGCGTCCCTGTCACCTCCCCCCGTCAGTCGTCCACCCCACCACCCCAGCCCCATCCGACCCCGTCTGCATCCCCATCTTCCTCCACAGACGTGCGGCTCGCACGAAACGTACTGACCCCCGAAAGCCGAGCCGGGCGGATTCCACACCTAGGGCTCTCTCCACGCCGAACAGAGCTAACCCCATGCCAGCCGTTTACCTTCCTCTCGGCTCCTCGACGAGACCCAGCGCCCAGCTCCGAGTAAACAGCACAACCCGCACACGGAAAAAAAAAAACCAAAACAACAACAAAACGACAAGAAACAGCCGCAGCAAACGACAGCTTTCCGCCTCCGCCAACCAAAGGCCGTTTGAATTTTTTAAAAAAATACCCGCCGGCGCGACCTCAGGGCGCCTGCGGCGAGGACGTACACGCACTTCCCGCGCGCCAATCGCGGCCGCCGGAAGTGTGCGTGCCCCCCCCCTTCGCTCCGCGGAGCACCCCGGGCTCCCGGCCGCGCGAACCCCGACCCCCTGTCGTTTAGTAGCCCGTGTCCTGGTCCCGAGAGGAGTCTGGCCCTGTGCTGGAAACCGGAGCCTAGGACGAAAGCGACGTCGGGGATGGCTCGGCCCCGGCGCGCCTGGAATTGCCTTCCGTACAGCAACATGGCCGCGCCCATGGACTAGGACAGCGAGGCTTATCTTTGGCTCCACCAGGACCAGGTTTAAGAGGAGTGCGTTTCCGTGGGGGGAGAGTCTGGCGGCGGTGAGGGGAACTGTGGAGGGTGGTGGTGCTCTGCTGGCCAGACCCTAGGAGGAGTCTGAAGGATAATGAAGCCGCTGCCGGGTCCTCCCAGCGCTGTGGGTCCCCGAAGGACAACCGCAAGCAGGCGTTTGGAGTTCCCGGACCGTGGAGGAAGTTCTTGGGGCGAAAGTTTGCCCCAGAGCGGTTGTGCCATTAGCTAGGATTGTAGTTTGCAGGCTTAGCAGCCTTTCTGAGTTTCAGTGTGTTTTTGTTTTTTTTTTGTGTGTGTGTGTTTTTTTCCCTCTACCCATCACAGTGTCTTCCCCGGCTCACGTCACGTCACGGGAGGGGGGGAGACCAAAACCGCAGGTATCACGACCAGGACCCCCGTCACTAACAATAACAGTCAGCTGATGCGTTACCCGTTGTTATGTTTCAGGCTCAGTGAGCAGCAAGCAGCTCATCCGGAGTATCTCATTCAGGTCCCTAAACCCATGACGATAGAACTTCAAATTGATGACTGTGGTCGGGCGTTGTGGTGGCGAACGCCTTTAACGTCATCACTCGGGAGGCAGAGAGAAAGAGAGAGAGAGGGAGGGAGGGAGGGAGGGAAGGAAGGAAGGAAGGAAGGAAGGAAGGAAGGAAGGAAGGAAGGAAGGAAGGAAGGGAAGGAAGAGCGGGGGTGGGGGGGTGGGGGGTGTTGTTTCTGATTTCCAGACCAGCCGGGTTTACAGAGTGAGTACCCGGACAGCCACAACAACATACTAAGACACTATCTCAAAAACCAACCAACGAAACAAAAGCCAACAAAACCCCCAACCAAACAAAAGAATAACTTTGAAGCTCAGTGAAATCAGGTAATTTAGCCTGAAAGTGTCCATACACCTTTAATGCCAGCACTGGAGGCGGAGATAGGCAGATCTCTGTGAATCTGCTGAATTTAAGACCGGACTGGCCTCCATGGGAGAATCCCAGGCCAACCAGGGCTACATTGTAAGACCCGGTCTTTAAAAGTTGAAGAACAAAGACTAGGCCACAGTCAATTGCATAAGAAATTTGACTATAAATGCTATGCTTATTATTAGTTATGTATTTCACTTATTCCTTCTTCGGTTCCCTCTTAAAGTTTCCACTACATTATAATTAGATAAGCTACATCCAGAACTGCAAAAACACATTTTAAAGGAAGATAAAGTAGTTCTGAAAAACCTAGTTACTAGAGTGTGGCTCAAGTAGATTGTAGATCTAGATTTTTAATCTTGAAGTCCTGACCTAGTAAAGGATAACTCTTGTTGAAATTCTGTGGCCCTCTCTAGATAGGTTTATGCCATTTAAGAAGTCAAATTCTTGTAGGTAATTAACTATTCTTTGACTCCACAGGACATCACCTGTTAAGGATTTAGTGGCTTCAATATTTGGATGATGTGGACTATGCTGCAATCCAAGGACCAAAACAGGACCATGGAGGGTCACAGAAGAAAGGAGCATCAAACTGGGAATCCAGATCCATCACTCTAAAAGCATCTTTGACCAAATCGGCCGAAAAATTTGAACAACCAACTCTAAAATTAAAAGACATTTGAAGTATTGCATTTTCCCTCACAGGTGCTATGTACATGCCCACTTTGTATGTTTGCATATCAAACCTACTTGTGTGTGCGAAGGACATCATTACTGAAATATAGGACATTTAGAACCTGATTAAAATTTTTTTTTGTTATTGTTGTTGTCTGTTTTTAGTTGTTGTAGCACTGGGTATCAAACCCAGCACCCCCTACACGGAGCTACGCTCCCAACCTTAGTTCTGATTCTTGAGTCTCAGTTCTTTTATTTTTTAATTTTTTTTAAAAGAGAATGTCTGTGGTGCACCATTTGCCACCTGGGTGGTTGCTGGATCATCTTTCTTTCATTAACAAGGTGAACTATCAACTTCGACAGCATGAAGAGCCTTCCTGCAGTAAAAATAAGACGACGTCTTCTGTCTACCCCGACTCTCTTCAGATGGATGCCGTGTCTCCTTTTGGAGCTCCTGCTCCTGGCTTTGCTCCTGACTCTGCTAATTTGCCGGGCAGTGAGGATGAGGATGAGGATGAGGATGGGGGAAGTTGTGAAACGACTACCCAAAAATATGTTTTCCGACCTGAGCTATTTAATGTCACCAAACCCTACATAACTTCAGCCGGTCACAAAGAATGCCAACAAAGTAACAAAAACGAGAATTCAGTGACTGGTAAAGAACAGGAAGTCTCCATTTCCATTGGGAAGGTAGGAAGTTTTAAGGTTATTTATTTTTTAAATCCCACTGTCTCGGGCATTTTCCCATTTTCTAAGTATAAAGAATTAACAATGCAGAAGGTGTTAGCATGCCCAAGAGCAATTTTTATTTATTTATTTATTTTGTTGAGTCAGGGTCTTTTGGGCTGCCTTCCAACTCACTGTGTGGCTGAGGAAGACAGACTTCTTAGCCTCCATTTCCCAAGCGCCGGGGTTATAAGCCTTTGCCATCACCTACCTTTAATTTTATTTCCTAACATTCCGGAACAACACATTGCATGTTTCAGGAAGTAAGAAGAGGCCTGGGGAGATAGCAGGGAAAGGTGCTTGCTGTTGAACCTCATGGCCTGAGTTTTGGTCACGAGGGCCCACTTGGTTAGAAGGAGAGAACCGACTCCCACAAATTGTCCTCTAACTTCCACATGGGTGTCGTTCCTAAGCGACTTTCTCCCCAATGCACAATGAATGATTGGATAGATAAATGTAAACAAAACAAAACAAAACAAAACAGTGTAGATAATGGGCTTAGAAGTAAAACTGTCTATAAAAGAAACAAAACTCTTTGTGTGTAGCCTGGTATTGGAACACAGTCCAAATAATGGAGTCATGTGATGAGACTTCTAAGTGCTTGTGAGAAAACACCCACAAGACAAGAGTCTTGTTGTCTTCGTTTATTCAGAAATATGAAATTGTTCTTAGGATGTGCTGTTTGCCCCTCCCAGGTGTAGTAAATAGGAGTGAGTTTTCTTCAGATCATTCACTAAAACTGGCTATTGTTATTTGTTTATCTGCCTCCATGGAAAAATAATATGTTTTTGCCATGTGCAGCTTGTCCTTACGATTGTACACTTTACTCGGATGACTCTTATTAACCTCAGAGTATAAATTGTCTGATGCTCTGAATGAAGTTGGCTATTGCACGAGACTTTAGTCTGCTTCAGTTTCAGGCTCCACTCTCCCAGGTCTCACTGCCAATAAGAGTGCTAAACAGTATTAAATGATTTTACACCTGTTTTAGGGTTAAAATTTTCTATGCAAAATTCCCAAGCAGTCATTACGTTTTTTTTTAAAAGGGAATTTTAAAGGCCCGTCTTTTGGGCAATAGGCTCATGTACTAAAAGTTTGAGAGAAGGGTGATTCTTTTCAAAAGAATCCTAGTTTCCTAGTGATGAAAGTAGGAAAGCTACGTTGGAAAATGCATGTTTATGAGATACTTGTGTTTGAGTATATACTTAGTAGGGGCAGTTTTCCAAAAGTTTGAGTCTGGTGCAGTGGTACTCAGCTGTAACTTCAGTACTTCAGAGGTGAAGGTAGGAGTACAAGGTCATCCTTGGCTGCATACTGAGCTCGTGGTTAGTTAGCTTGGCTGTGAGAGATCTCCCCAGAACAAAACAAAAAACTCCAATAAATGACTTGTGATTGTGCTACACAGGATTAAACAGCAGGTCTTTCCTGCTGCCGTGTGGACCCTTGGCCCTGGGGGTTGAACTGAGGTCAGGCCCAGCAGCAAGGGCTTTAATCTTGGATGTGTTTCTTGAGTCCAGAGGTGACTATACAAACCACATTCAGATATTGTCATGTTAGTGATAGGAATGAGTGTCTGTTCATTCAGCAAACATGTTAGCTGTTTTAAGATAACACAGTGCCTGTACCTATTGTACTTTATAATTGGTTAAGCAATTAGGGAAGCATATTAAGAACTTGAGTATGGAAGTTGGTAGTAGTAACCCCTTCCACTTTTGAAGGTGCCTGGAATGAAGTTTTTAATATTCTTGTGGTTTTTTCCCTCCCTTGGACATGTTTTTCTTTTTCAACAAGTATGTACTGATTCATTTACATGTGAAGCATAAGGAAAGAAAAATCTCAGATATGTTGCTAATTCACATTTTAGCTTGGGTAAAGTTTTTGTTGTTGTTGTAAATGAGACAAGGTCTTACTGTAGTTTGTGCTGTCTTGGAACCCCTCTGTATAGACCAGGCTGTTTTAAACTCATGGCTCTGTCTCTGCCTCTGGAGTACTGTGATGATAGGCACTTGCCACAAATTTCTCATTTTAATGTGAAAAGTACAGATGAGCACATGTAATGAATTCTGTCATGATGACGTTTGTCTGATTTTTGATATGCAAATACAAATTGCATAATTAGCCTCATCTCAAATCCTCTTATGTATTTAGCCAACAGCTCTTTTAGCCCGTTAAGAATTTGATGCTGTGTTAATAGCACGTCAGCGGCGAAAAGAAGTTACAGTTCTCTGTTCCTGTCTCACAGTCTCTGTTGCATGTCATAGTCAGGGGCAGAGTACTGCGAGTATTGGTGTGTCTGTAACCGTCAGACCAACCCTAAAGATCTTCAGACATTCGTATTTATTTATTTATTTTGTATGTGTAGGTGCACGTGTGGTGTGGTGTACATCTGTAGGTCAGAGGACACTTTCAGAAACTGTCTCTGTCCTTACTCAATGGTGGATCCTAGAAATTTGAATCTAGGTTTTGGGTTTAGTGATAAATGTCTTCTTGGCAGCCTTCTAAATACCTTTTCAAAACATACTAAAATTCTTTTTTTTTTTTTTTTTTTTTGGAGAGGCATCTTGCTATGCTGCCAAGCTAGTTTTGAACTTGATCCTCCTGTCCATCTGACCACTGGGATTACAGTTATCTAGCATAGCACTATACCTGGCACTTCTTTCTTTTGTCCCCTTTTAAATCTTTTTTTGGAACAGGGTCCAGATAGCCCAGGCAGACTTTGCAATTAATTTCCTTTAAAAATAATTATTGATGGCCGGGCGGTGGTGGCGCACGCCTTTAATCCCAGCACTAAGGAGGCAGAGACAGGCAGATCTCTGTGAGTTCGAGGCCAGGCTGGACCGACAGCCTCCAAAATAATACAGAGAAACCCTGTCTCGTAAAAACCAAAAAAAAAAAAATTATTGATTTAATGCATATGAGTATTTAGTGTGTGTGTGTGTGTGTATTTCTGTGCACCATGTGTATATTTGCAGAGACCAAGAGAGGGCGTCAGATCCATGGCAGCTGGAGTTATAGATGGTTTTGAGCCACCATGTGGGTGCTGGGAATCAAACCTGGGTCTTTTGTAAGAGCAGCCAGTGCTCTTGAGCACTGGTCCTTCCCTTCAGCTCCAGATATTCTCTGACAGCCTATAGATGGTTCATGTTCAGAAAGGAAGAAAGTGGAGAATAGTTGTACCTAATGCATATAAACTGATCGTTAACTGTGGCAACAAACTGCCTATGAAGAGTTACAGTTCCTTCATAGTCCATGGGCACGTGTACCTTTTGCACTGATTTTGATCTCAATGGAACTTCTTAACTTAAAAAAAATGGAATATTTAAGAAAATGTAGTACAAAAAAATGTCAACTTTGTGATAGACTGCAGCATTATTTTTTTTCTTGTCACCTTCTTTAGAAGCGTAAAAGATGTGTGGCTTTCAATCAAGGTGAATTGGATGCCATGGAATATCATACAAAGGTAGGTATAAAATATTAATTGATCATGTAGGAAGATTAGTATGAATAGCTTAAAAGTGAACAAAATGTATCTTAGAAGTAAAGCAATTGTTTTGGTCAGAATTAGAATCTAAATGATTTGCTTCTTGTCAGTAATGAACAGTTTAAGCCAATTTTTATTAACACTACATATCTTGTTAGTTTAAGTATTTGATGAATTAATCTTGTGCTAGTGGTTAAGTATACTGAGAATGTTGCAGTGTTTTTACTCTGGGATGTTTTCTCTCGTGTTGAATTTAGGTTCAACAATAAATGGCTGAATACAGACTGTTATTTAACTTTATATATGTAGATATGACATGAAGGATTATTTAAGGATAGAAAGGGGACCAGTGATGGGTGGAAGAAAGATGGGAAGAGTAGAATGAGGCTGTCTTATATATGAATTCATTATAATAAAGGAAATCAGCATGATACTGTACTTTTGCAGAGTCAAAAGTCTGCACGATTTGTATTTTCAGTATTGGGAATGATGTGAGGATGGGATATATAACATGGCAAATTATGGAAATAATGCTGACAGTTTATGGTAGAAAAAAAAAACCCTGAAAACGATAAGAAATCTCTCAAAAGATTCAACACAAGAATAGTATACTATAGCAATAGATGATAGATTGTAGTGTACTATAGCAATAGATGATAGATTGTAGTGTACTATAGCAATAGATTGTGGGAACACCAGACCTTGAGCAGAGACCCACTTCCCCTTCTGCCTGGGAGTAGGCAGCTGTAAGACAATGTTTAGTAAAAACATGTTTACTAAAAACGATACAATAAGTTCCTGGCCACTTCCCCTTCTGCCTGGGAATAGGCAGCTGTAAGACAATAACATGTTTACTAAAAACGATACAATAAGTTCCTGGGAAAGGCCTTCCCACGGAAACCGCCCTGACCTCGACCTTGTCCAGAGACTAACCGCACCTTCAAAAACCCACACACATCCACCTCTGGGGTCAGAGCAGAACCAGCGAGGGTAGAGGAGAGAGCAGAAGCTTCTCTGGTGGGAGCTTTTCTTAGGAGGTTTTCTTAAACCTTTTTGGAGCCTGTTTAAAGTTCTCTTTATATCATTAAACGAGTCTCTGTGTTTTCAATACCCGACACCCTCCACACGTTCTCGGACACAGGCCGCGCAGCAGACGTGACAATAGATGATAGATTGTAGTGTACTATAGCAATAGAAGATAGATTATAGTATACTATAGCAATAGAAGATAGATTGCTGCATGGAGGTAATCTTCCGAGTGACAGCTCCCATGATCATATTTTGACTTCTTGTATTATGATGAGTTGCTGATTTTTTTTTTTGAACGAATTGTTTTAGTTAGCTTAGAAAGTAATGAGGCTCATCATGACATTTTCATACAAATGTGTCATTGTACTTTGCTTATATTCTATGCCCACTACCTCCCGAGTAGTTCCCATTCTTCCTTCATGGTGCATAAATACACACAGAGTTAAATAATGATATACACACATATATCATCAAATCTACATTCTGGATGGGAGAAGACATTTTTTTTTGTTCCCCTTCCCCTTAATTATCTTGGTTTGAATATTTGGTAGATATTGTCATACTGCTACTATGGAAGTCATAGAATAGTTAGATTATACACTGAATTCTTCTTCTCCCCAGAAACTACCATCTTGTTTTCATAGCTGCTGTACAATTTTTTTTATTTCCACCAACAGTGCATAAAGGTTCCAATTTTTCCACTTTTTTCACCAAAACATTCTATTTCGCTTTTAATTGCCATCCTAATGGGTATGGAATGGGATCTCGTTGTGATTCTGTGTATCTTGATATTTTACATTTTTACTTTCATTGTGAGAAAAACATTTTCTAATCTCTCTTGTGATCTCATCTTTGACCTGTATGAATTATTTAGAAGAGAACTATCTCATTTGCATTTGGGGTTGATTTTAGTATCATTTTATTCTTTATTTCTAACTTAAATCCTTTGTGGTGTAAGAATAGATTCTAGTTTGTTGAGATTTGTTTCATTGCCCAGCATATGAATTATCTTTGAGATTGTACTGGGGGGGGCTGATGATTATGTTCTGTAACTGTTGGCTATAGTGCTCCTATGTGTAGCATTCAGGAACGTCTCTGTCTGCAGAATTTGTGTTACTTGTTCTACCCCGTAAAATGATTTTAAAACCAGTATCCTTTTAATGTACTTTAAACATTTTTTTTTTTTAAACAGATCAGAGACCTGATTTTGGATGGATCTACACAGTTAATCCAAGAAGGTCTCAAAAGTGGTTTTCTTTATCCACTTGTTGGGAAACAGGATGGAAATTGTGGTCGCATCACTTTACCCCTCGATGCTTGCAATTTGTCAGAATTATGTGAGATGGCAAAGCATTTGCCGTCCTTGAGTGAAAGGGAGCTTCAGACACTACGTTTGACGGAAGATGATATGTCTATTACAGAGCTGGATCTATCATCACAGGTCATTGAAAACGACTCCAGCTTTTCCAAAATGATTACTTTAATGGGACAGAAATACCTGCTACCACCCAAAAGCAGCTTTCTTTTGTCCGACATTTCTTGTATGCAGCCACTTCTCAACTGTAAGTAGTTTTTATGTTTTAGAAAAAGATAGTTTTTCTGTCATTTCAGAAGTTAAGAGTATGAACTTTGAAAGCCGGGCGTTGGTGGCATGTGCCTTTAATCCTAGCACTCGGGAGGCAGAGGCAGGTGGATCTCTGTGAGTTTGAGGCCAGCCTGGTCTATAGAGTGAGTTCCAGGACAGCCTCCAAAAACAACACAGAGAAACCCTGTCTCGAAAAACCAGAAAACAAAACAAAACAAAACAAAAAACCAATGATGAAGCTTCTGACTGCTTGTGGATGGACCATCCTCCACAGGGTGGGTGCTCTCCATGGTGAGTCCTCTGTTATTGTTCAAATACTGCAGTCCTCATGGTTGGTCACTCTGTCATGTGTTTAGACGCTCCTAATTTTATTTTATTCTAGGGATTACCAACCCTGTTGGGCTAGGGCCCACCTGAATGAGCTCATTTCAGTTTAATTTTTCCTTTCAGGCCCTGGTTTTCAAATGCACTCTTATTCTGAGGGATCAGAGGCACTTTAGCATATCACTCTGGGGAAACGGGTATGATTCACCCCAGTATAGCCCTCTAATTGATCTCTTAGCTTTCCTTCAACAATCTGTTCTTCAGACCTGAGCAAGGGCTTGTTGGTTCAGAGATTTCTAGTGGTGTCTCAGCCCTCTGAGTAAAAGCCAAGCCCTTAGCATCTTCTCGAGGGCCCTGTACTGTCTACCCTTTCTCTCTTACCTGCTCTTCATCTCGTTCTCATTGTCTGTACCTTCCCTGCACCCCCCTCAAGCCCTGAAGCCCCACTATCCTCGGCTCTGGTGTTTTTGTTTTGTTTTTTGTTTTGTTTTTTTTTTGAGACAGGGTTTCTTTGTATTGTTTTGGAGCCTTTTTTGGAACTCACTTGGTAGACCAGGCTGGTCTTGAACTCACAGAGATCCACCTGCCTCTGCCTCCCGAGTGCTGGGATTAAAGGTGCACGCCACCAACGCCCAGCTAACATTCTTTTAAGAAAAAGAAATGTTAAGGACAAACATCATGCAAAAGTATATGTTTTCCTATTGGGAGGTGGATTAACCCATCTGTGTTTTACACAACCAAGAACTTTTGCAGCAGTGTCCAGGAGTTTCCCTGGGGATTTTGTTGTTGTTGTTGTTATTGTCTTGTTTTGTTTACTACTCCTGGGGCTGGAGAGATAGATGATTCAGTAGTTAAGAACACTGTATGGTTTTCAGACAGTCTGGGTTCCATCCCCAGGACACACAACTATAACTCTAGTTTCAGGAAATCTGATGCCCTCTTCTGGCCTCTTGAGGGCGTCAGACATACATGTGGTATATAGACAAACATGCAGGCAAGACACTTTGCACATAAAATAAGATAAAGAGATTTTTTAAAAGACAAAAACTATTCCTATGCAGTTTTGTCATGAATAAAAATGCTCAAAACTCTTTTCAACCACTGGATTTACACTCATCTTAATTTCAAGATGCCTTAAGAAATATAAAATTACCTCAGCTAAGAAATTTGATTTGGAAATACTATCTCTCACTGGCCAAGATCTCCCTTATTTTGGTATTACAAAGGCCAATTATTAAGACTATTATAATAGCTATTGCTTAAGCCTTAACTATTTCTGTGAGACAATTGTATCAGGTTTTTAGCTTAGTGATACATGTTGTTAATAAATTATAATTTATCCTAAGGAATGTGGTAGGTAAAAAGTGGTAATGTAATCTAGTTGAATTTAATCTGTTATTAGGATATTTTATAGCAATATTTTAAGTTATAAGCAACTGCAGCTTATAATACTTTACTATTGAAAACTTTTTAATATTTAGTGTCCTTGATCTCTTCTGATTAGTTCTGGTTTGAAGGCTTTTTGTCAGATATTAAAATAGCTATACCTGCTTACTTCTTGGTCCATTTGATTGGAATACCTTTTTCCAATCTTTTAACTTGATGTGGTGTCCATCCTTGATGTTAAGGTGCATTTCTTGGATACAGCAGATGTTTGGATTCTATTTTTGTATCCATTGTTAGTCTGTGTCTTATTATTGGGAAACTGAGGCCACCCATGTAGAGAGAGATCAATGAGCAGTGTTGTTGATTCCTGTTATTGTGTTCTTGTGGTGGTGGTGGTGGTGTGTATGTGTGTATGTGGGTGTGTTTTTCTTGTTAGGATTATTTATTTCTTGAGTTTCCTTTGGTGCATCCCTCTGTCCTTATTTTAATTCGTATTCTTTAGATCACTTACAAGCCTGTACATTTATCAAAATATATCCATGTTCTATAATTGGTGGGGAAGGAATATCTCTTCCTTAGAATACATTCTAGTTACTTAATATGAATGGAATAATGGATCCAAGAAATTTCCATTTGACAGATGTCATAGTAATCACTGAATGGCAAAGTAGTGGGTGAGAAGAGGATGTTCTCATGCTTTTAAAGTGTCTCGGCACAAGGTAATCGTTTATGAGCAAGAGAAGCTGGACAGACCAGCACACGGTACTTTAACAGAGTGACAGTGTGACACAGTTTGACAGCCTGAGTCACCTGCTTCTCTGGTATAGTGTGCCAGAAATAGAGGATCTAAATTTAGTGATGAGGAAATACCAAATCCAAGTTAGGGACATCTTGAAATAATCTGAAATAGGAGATGTGATAACTGAAAGCAAAATATGATTCTGATTTTTGGCCTGAATTTTAAAAAAAAGAAGAAAGAATTTTGTGGTAACTGGAGTTTTCTTATGGTTGCCATATTAGCTATAAAACTGAAATTTCAAAATAAAAAGTTAGCAAAAGAGCAACTTAAAAAGTACATAGGGCCAGGAGGACCATTAATTGAGGCCATTGGACTTGTAAGGGGATTGTCAAGTTGTTAGTACCCAGCTCAGTGGACTGTAACCATCCATAGATGACTCTGTGAAAGTCAATGTGCACAACTGCAATTGCTGTTATCTCAAAGGTCCATAGTTGCAGTATCTGAATAAGTTCCATAAGCTCTTGCTGTATCCCATTGTATTTGTGTCTACAGTGAAAATCCTTCCCTGGGCTGGGTCTAGCTCAGCTATACAGCTTGCTGAACACACCCAAGGTCCCGGGTTCAAAAAGCTGTACTTTACTTTTGGAATATCTTAATTTCTTATTATCATTGTGTATTTCTGTGATGTGTGTAGAGATCAGAGGACAGTTTTGTGGACTCTTTTCTCCTCTTCCATCCTATGTGGGTTCGAGATCCAGTTCAGATCAGCAGGTTTGGTGGCCTTTACCTGCAGAGAACTTGCTGGTCCCTCTTTAGAACTTTTTGTCTTAATTTCATTTTTAGTCGTGTGTGTGTGTGTGTGTGTGTGTGTGTGTGTGTGTGTGTGTGTGTGCGCGCGCGTGGGTGCACGCACACGCTTTTTATCTTTGAAGGATTCTGGGGATTTGGTTCAGAGCTTGCTTATGAGAGTGTGGGCTTCCCCTCAATCACAGTGTTTAGCTCTTTTCTTTTTTTTTCAAGACAGGGTTTCTCTGTATTGTTTTGGAGGCTGTCCTGGAACTCGCTCTGTAGACCAGGCTGACCTCGAACTCACAGAGATCTGCCTGCCTCTGCCTCCCGAGTGCTGGGATTAAAGGCATGCGCCACCAACGCCTGGGTGTGTTTAGCTCTTGAACTCATCACATACAGAGGATGTTTTTTGAAATTATGCCTTTGATTTCAGGTAGTAAGACATTTGATGTCATTGTGATTGATCCACCATGGCAGAACAAATCGGTTAAAAGAAGTAACAGGTACGTGGGAACGATTCATCTGCTAGATTGCATTCTGGAAGCCGCAGCCCTTTGTGCATTCTAGTTTAGTATACTACAAACATGACAGCATTATCTGAGCTACCAAGAATGCTTTCATCAAAACATAATTTCCGTAATTCTAGATACTTGAACTGGAACTGATATATCTGCGAAACAGTGTCTGCAGCTGCCACCGAGGCCTGTACCATTCAAGGTTTTCTCAGCAACACTGAGGTCTATCCTTTTACCTTTTTCCCTGTCACATTCGAAAACTCAGACGTGTGCCGTGCCTGTAGTTTACAGCAGTGGGCTGGGAGCAAATCATTGAGTTCACAAATTTGTTTGTATTTTCAGGTTATGTCATTGTAGAGGATAAGCTTAGGTAGCTACTGGGCTGGCATTTACCTTTACTAACATCTTTGTAACTCAAAGAAACTTTCTTTCCCCCATACTTGAGGTGACTGCTTTCAGTTTCTTCTCATACTTCAGTTTCCCAGATACAACAATTCCTGTTTTGCAATAAACTCAGACTGAAGTCCTTCCTCTCAACAATCTTTAGCTTTCTTTGAGATAATTTTCTAAGTTGTAAGAGTATAGATATCTATGTTTGTATCTACATCTATATCTCTATATGTCTGTATTTTTCAGAACCACTTGAGAATGAAATAAGAGAAAGTTACTCTTAAGAATTTGAACAAATCAGAGGTGCTGTTATATCTTCATAATGCCATTATTAAGTAGATAACTAATATAAATATACATATATACATATATATGTATGAATATATACACATATTAGCAAATTGGTTAAAAGAAATAACAGGTACATGGGAATGGTTCATCTGTTAGATTGTATTCTGGAAGCCGCAGTCTAATATAAAATTAATATAAAACTCCAATGGACACGTTAGTGTCGCCTCTGAGTTTATTCAGGTTTCACCAGGTGTCCCAGAAAGTCTTTGTAGCACACAGACAGTTGATCATGTTCTCCACTGATGTGTGTGTCTCCCATTTCCTGTGACTCCTCATAACTGTGACTGTAATAACATTTAGTAAGTTTTATGAAATTTTCTGACAGACTGTTGAGTCTGATGTGATTTTAGAGAATTATAGTTGGTTTTAAAAGTGGGGTCAGAGCCGGGCGTTGGTGGTGCACGCCTTTAATCCCAGCACTCGGGAGGCAGAGGCAGGCGGATCTCTGTGAGTTCGAGGCCAGGCTGGACCGACAGCCTCCAAAACAGAGAAACACTGTCTCGTAAAACCAAAAAAAAAAAAAAAAAAAAAAGTGGGGTCAGTTGTGAAGACTGTAAACTCTGTTGTTTGACTAGCTCTGGGAATACACGTTGGTTTTTGTGGACACTTATCCAGGTATAAAGTTGCTGTACCTTGTGATGAGCCCATCTTCAAAAATTTAAGGCACCACCAAGCAATTTTCCATAGCAGCTAAATCACGTTACATCTTTTCCAAGAATGTTTGTGACATTTCCTCATCTTTACCAATCCTGGTTATTTGTAATTCTAATTATAACTATGTTACTATGAAGTGATATCTTATAGTTTTGATCTGTGTTTCTCTAAAGACCAACCATACCTATCAGTTTTTCATGTTCTTATCAGTTCTTTTATGTTCTATAGAAAAGCTATGTATATTTTAAGGTTGCGTCTTTATATATTTTGGATACTAGATTCTTATCAGATTAGCAGATCTTTTATCTTTTTTTGTTTGCTTTTCTCAGAGTTATGTAAAGCATGAAGTTTGATTTTTGTTGTTGTTATTTTGTGTTTTTGAGACAGGGACACAGGGTTTCTCTGTGTAGCCTTGGCTGTCCTCACAGAGATCCTTCTGCTTCTGCCTCCCCAATGCTGGGATTAAAGGCACACACCACCACTCCCAGCAGTTTATAATTTTTTTTTGAGACAGGGTTTCTTTTATTGTTTTGGAGCTTGTCCTGGAACTTACTCTGTAGACCAGGCTGGCCTTGAATTCACAGAGATCCACCTGCCTCTGCCTCTCGAGTGCTGGGATTAAAGGCGTGTGCCACCAATGCCCGGGTAGTTTGTAATTTTTAAATGTTGCTTATGATTTTAGTGTTGTATTTAGGAAGTTTTTGCCAGGCTAGGCATGGTGGTGCACACCTTTAATCCTAGCACTTGGGAGGCAGAGGCTGGCAGATCTCTATGTCTTTGAGACCAGCCTGGTCTACATAACAAGTTCCAGGCCAGCCAAGGGTACACAGTGAGACCCTGCCTTAGAAAAACCAAGAAAAAATTTTTCTTTTGACATAAAACAAAGGGAGGAGGGTAGGGAAGGTAGTAGAACACATGTAATATGAAAGTTGAAAAAAGTGGACTAGGAGTGGAAGGATACAAGTCAGGGGGCAGGGAGTGGAGGGAGAGGATTCCAGAAGGAGGATCAACTAAAACCTAGCATGTGTGAAAGTTCCGTAACAAATCCTTCTTGTATTCTAGTTAAAAAGATGCGTGAAGATGTACATCACCTTTGAGAAGTAGGTACTTTTGCATAATTAGCACTGTAAGGCATAAGGGTTCACAGCCTTTGGAAATTGCTCAGTGATTTCTGAGTTTAGAGGTACCAGAGGGAGTGTGAATATTTCCTCACCTCCAAACACTCCACGTTTAAGTTAAGGCAGTCAGGAATCCGCAGCTATTGAAAACATGTCACTGCAGAGTTTTGACCTAATACTTTTTCTACCGTGACAAAATAGTTTCTGAAAACCATCCCTGTGAGAATGGGAAGGCCAGCGTTTGGGGGGTGTGATGGTCAGCGTGGCAGAAAAGTTTGCCAGCGATTCCTGACCCCCTTTAAAGTAGTTGCTTTACATCAGAACCGATGCCTGTGCCTGCCCCTTGGGAGACTCCTTGTTTTTTACTGATGAGTAAGTAGAGTGGTAGAAGCTTCTTTGGCATCGACAGGGGAATGAAACAAAGGAGAGGAAGTAGGGAGATTTAAGTCCCTGGCATCCCTGGCTTGGTTAGCAATGGGAGGAAACTGACAAAACCCCCGGTAGAAGCAGCATAAGGAAGGAGAGACAGGTTTTTGGCTCATGGTTTTAGGAATCTCCATCCATCACATTAGGAAAGGCACGGTCCCTGTTCACACTAGCAGGAGCATGTAGCAGCACACAGGAAGTAGGGAGCACTAGATGGCAACCCGTGGTGGGTGTAATCTTTGACAACCCCTGACACGCACACAATGATCTACTTCAGCCAGCAGTCTGCACCCCTAAGGCTCTCCAGTCTCCAGAACAGTACCACAATCCAGACTGAACACTCAACGCACGAGCCTATGGGAGACATGCCAGCTAAAACAATAACTGGGCCTGCAAGATGGCTTACTGGGAAAACACACTCACTGCCAAGCCTGATGACCTGAGTTTAGTTGCTGGAATTCACGTGATGGAAGGAAAGAGCTGACTTCCTCAAGTTGTTCTCTGGCCTTCACATATACTCTACAACAGATACAGGCCAATACAAACAAACAAACAAGTATGTTATCTTTTTAAAAAAATATTTATTTACAATGTATACAGTGTTCTGTCTGCATGCATGCCTGCAGGCCAGAAGAAGGCACCAGATTTCATTACAGATGGTTGTGAGCCACCATATGGTTTCTGGGAATTGAACTCAGGACCTCTGGAAGAACAACCAATACTCTCAACCTCTGAGGCATCTCACCAGCCCAATAAATGTTATCTTAAAAATCCTAATATGTCCTCTCTCCTTCCTCCTTTCTTCATCTCTTTCATTTCTCTGTCCCCATCTCTCCTCATTCCCTCCTTTTCTTTTCAAATTGCATAATCCAAGTATGGTGAACTGCCAGAGAGGATGAAAATGCAGAAGCAGGGGAATAATGATTGACATTTCAGGATGTTGGAATACAGGAATGAGGAGACAGAGTTGGAAGGATGAACCTCAGTAGACACTCATACGTTTCCCTGAAGAGAAGATGTGTTGAAGTAGATAAAGTATATAAGGAGGGAGGAGATAGTGTGGTAGTTGAAGAGACTTGGTGGCTTTTATTTTAACTAAAGTATGAGATAACCTCATATGCCGAGGGGAACAATGGACAAGGGGCCTGAGACAAGGGGCCTTTTATAACTAAGGGTAAATAAAAGGGTCTGCGACTGGTTTGAGGACTTGAGAATAGACGGAAAGCTTCAGTGGTCTTTTGCTGCATGTTTTCCTTCACCTCACTTATCTATATGAAGAAGTTGAATTGTATTGTGGCATTGGGTGTGTCTGTGGGCATACTTCAGGCATGGAGTGTGTGCTTTGCATGCACAGGGCCCTAGGTTCAGTCCCTGTTGGGTGCATGTATGTGCACATGCATACATGCACATGCGTGCACAATGACAAGGCCTAGGTTATGTCATTGGAATGGGTTATTGGAGGGTGAGTGCATACATTGTTTGTATAGGTGAATTAATACTTGTGTTCACATTGAAGTTGCCTGGGATAGTGTCAAGGCTTTCCTTGTTGAGGTAGAGGGATCTCAGAGCTTCAGCACACTAAATATTGAGACTGAGGACAAAATACGTTCAGTGAGGAAGGTTTGGGGCTAGTGTGGCTGGATAACAAAGAGAAGGGAGGTTTTGCAAAAGTCGATAGTCTAGAAGCAATAATGGGGACACTGGAATACCGACTTGCCATCTCCAGTTGTATGTGGGATGTTGGAGAAGGAATTGTATTTGTATATTTGTAGAGCAAAACAAGTGTCCTTCCTACAGTTAATGTCCTGGAGGCATGTGACAGTGGGCCTTTAAAAGGAGAGCATTTGGACTTGAGAGAAAATGGGAGGACAAGCAGGGTGGTAGATGGGCTTGAAACTGTAATGGGAAGGTGAGGTTAGGTGTGGTGATAGGAGATCTAGGGGCCAGTAGTGTGTGGCAGACACTTGCAGTGGGGCATGGGACCACACTGAACCAGCTGGCTTTCGCATCACCGGGCTCACAGCCAGTGCTTCTTTGTACCAAGAGATGTTACCATTTGGGTTACTGAGGCACTAGTTTTAAGTCTCACTCTGATGGGGCTCCTGTGAAACACATGGCGACACAATCCAGACAGTATTTGTTTAAGTCGGGATGGAAGAAGAAGTATATCACATGTGGGAAAATTGCCAAAATGTAAGTCACTTGAAAATAAATAAAAACAAAACAAAACAAAGGAAAACAAAACCTCTACAGCCTGGCAATTAAAAACTAGTAAAACAGAAAAAAAAAAAAATCATTGGTGCAGGTGTAATTGCCAGTGAATCCACCAGGTGTCAGCGTGACTCCATATTTACCACACATGAATAGCTCCTGGAACTTTGTTATCTGCGGGGTTGGTGCCCTACAGCTCTTTTCCCTGCTTATATTTCTTTCTTGAAGTTAATTTTCTCATATTTTTCCCATTCACTTTCAGGTACAGTTGTTTATCACCACAGCAGATAAAGCAAATTCCTGTCCCTAAGCTGGCCGCTGCTGACTGTCTTGTTGTTACTTGGGTGACCAACAGACAGAAGCACCTGTGTTTTGTGAAGGAGGAACTATATCCTTCATGGTCCGTGGAAGTCATTGCAGAATGGTACTGGGTAAAAGTGAGTTCGGAAGTTAGCTCGTGTGCTAATACAGTGTCACATTCCTTAGCTCACGGGAAGATACCGACCATTCTCACCGTGCCCACATCACTGGTGTCTTCATCAGGCTCTGATGAGAACTTTCTCTGCTCTGTGCCTGGACACCTACCTGTCTTCCTGTTCTCAAGGTGTCTGTCTGTCTATCCTGTGTCTTTGCAGCAGGGCCCCAAATGCTGGCCTTGGGAGATCAGGGAGAGATCAGAGTAAAGTTATGAAAAGCTCTAGTTTATTAAATAATTGTGTGTGTGTGTGTGTGTGTGTGAGAGAGAGAGAGAGAGAGAGAGAGAGAGAGAGACAGAGAGAGAGAGAGACAGAGAAACAGACAGAGAGACAGAGAGACAAAGAGACAGAGAGAGAGGAGGGAGAACACATGCGCGTACACCCATGCGATACCTGTACTTTAATGAACAAGCAAGAACTTTGGGACTGTCTTACCTTCACTGTCTTTTCCACACACCAACAGTTCCATTGCCCTGTGCATTACACATCTCCTCCCCCTGTTGATGGGGATGAGAGCAGAGAGTAGCAAGGCCACCATAGAGCGTATGAGAAGATTTGGGAACCAAGAACCTTTTGTTCTGTTTCTTTTTTTTTTCCCCCTTGAGACAGGGTCTCCTGTAATATACAGTGCCTTGAGGATGCCCTTGAACACATGTAACCATGTTTAGTTACCTTCTAGGCTTTCAGTCTCTTTCTCTATCTCTCTTTCTCTCTCTTTCTTTTGGTGGAAACTGTATAATGACAGTTAAAAAAAAAAAAGATTGGCTTTCCATGGTTCCTTCCTTTCAGATCACCCATTCAGGGGAGTTTGTGTTCCCATTGGATTCTCCACACAAAAAGCCTTATGAATGTCTTGTACTGGGGAGAGTTCGAGAAAAAACTACTTCAGCATTAAGGTGAGAAAAGTGATTTTTCAAAATTATATAACTATAGGCTTTTAAAATTAGTACAGTGATCACTGATTTTCCTTAATTTTTATACTTTTGAAATCTAAAAATGACCTGAAAAGTGTCATTTAGTTCTATATTAAGTAAAGTTTATATTAACTTCCGTTTTATCCAGAGTGTGAAAAATGACATTCTAAAAGTGTTTGAATTTTTAAATTGATTTCCCTCATTGATTCTATCTTTAAGTTTATTTATTAATAGAATGATTACTGTTCAAAAGAGGGAAAAATGATGCAACCGTAGCATATAGTTGAAAACCTCTTCTTAAGTAACATCTTGTTGCCCTGTTGTGCTGTAATTAGGAGCACAGATGTGCAAGTGTGCCCTGTCCCGGATCAGATGCTGATGGTCAGCGTGCCCTGCGTTCTTCACTCACACAAGCCACCGCTCGCTGGTACGTGTCTGTGAGACACCCAAAGGATTGAGTTTAGTACTTGAACGGTCTGTAGGTTTGTGAATTAGCTGTTTGTTCTAATACTCTGAGACGTAGAGAACTCATTGCAGAACTTGTCAAGTAGAGCGCATGCTGGTTCCCGTTACCTCAGCTGTCCTTCAGCCCCGTTTCTCAGCTCTTGTTTACCGCCTCCGCCCCGCCAGTAGCGTAGCCTTGGCGGATGAAGGCTGATGGGGCTTCGGAGGGTGTAATTCGCAGAGTGGCCTTGTTCTGTACTCAGGTTTAAGATTCAGACCCGGCAAATCCCTGGCTTGTCCTAAAGCCAGGAACCCTGCGTAACAGAAGAGATGTCTGGGACTCTCTGAACGTGGTGATTGTGTCTCCTGAAGGCAGGCTACCGTTGTGCAACATGGGAAGGCTTGCTGAGGCTGCCATTCCCTCAGGCCGGGATGCTCAGTGCTGTGCTCCTCACTCCCCGAACTGAGCAGCAAGGACTAGTGGGAGTGCTGGCCTCGGGCGGGCACTGGGTCGCACGTATGTGACTTCCGTCTGCTGCTCTGGCCGGTTACCTGCATCTTTTCCTTGCCACCCTTACCAGTGAGGACTGGTATCTAGCACTGCAGAGTGGTAAGAGTTGCTTTCGTTGCTTACAGTGTATTTAAAAGTCAATAAATGGCCAATTTTTTTTTTCAAGTGGAAGTTTAAAGACTTACTCATGGAAGTCCTTGAGAGCCTCAATTTGACACCACAGGTTTGTGTTTTAGATAACTTCTTCAGGAAGATAGTTTATTAATTTCATCGCTACTACTTAAAAGCTATGGCCTATTGTTTTTTTCTTTTGCAGAATAGAGTTCACATAAGAAAGTGAACTTAGGGGAGCTAGGGAGAGCACTCAGTGGGTCAGAGTGCTCGCTCAGCCAGCATGAGTTCAAGTCCCCAGGGTCCATGTAAAAAGACGGGCGTGGCTGTGTGTGCCTGCATCCCCATCCTTAGGGGCAGAGGCAGGTACTTCACAGAGCGCTCACTGGTCAGCCGGTTTACCGAGATGTTGTGCTTCTAGTCCAGTGAGAGAACGTGTCTCAAGGGAATGAGGCAGAGAGCCGTGACGGAGAACACCCACTCTGCCCTTGGCAAGCACACCCGGGTACTTACATGCCGAGTGCGTGTACCACACCGGTATAACACAGATGCACACCCAGGCACGCACAGCAAACAAAAGAAAGTGGACTCAGGACTTCTGTTACCTTGACTAACTTTGCAAAGGAGTCCTTGCAGTGCCTTTAATTTGAGGAACTCAGATGTGCTTGACCATTCTTTGTCTTAGAAGGATCCTCTGACACCTCACACTTGGGGCTGCATAAACGAGAGAGCAGTAGTTTGTGACCTAGGTGAAAGTGAACTCTACTGTTCCTTGAAAAAAATTTAACACCAGTTGTACTTTAAGGAAATAGTTTGTATACTTCAGCTTTGTTTCTCATTTGGTACATACCAAAGCTTAATTATAAGTCATTTGTTTTAGGGTTTATAGTTTGCTATAAAAGATTTACAAAGAAATATGACTCCTAGCTTTTTGTTCTGAAACGATTTTTAATCTATTTGCCATTTCATTTGAAACAGAGTAAAAATACATTTAAGGATTACCCTTAAGAGAAAAGATTTAAAGACAGTGACTTAAAATTAGTCTTGCCATGAATAGTCTATAACGTGCAGTTCTGCTGTACTGCCACTAGAGAGCAGCACAAGCGCATTTTAGAAATGAAAAATGTTTCAACTCAGAGTTGTATTTGTGGGGAAAATCTGAATGACTCAATATAGTTAATCTTCAAGCTTTGGCTACATAGTGATATGCATGAAGTGTTTGTAGTACGTTGTTTTTGAGCTCATATTAGTTTAGTGTATGTGTTTTGTCTATAGAGAGGTACAAATTAAAGCCATCAGAAAGTGACTCAAAGATTCACTGTGGTAAATTTCACAGTGAAATCATAACTCTGGGGGCGTGCATGATATATATACTTAGAACTTTTTCCTGTAAACCTTATTAAGCCGTGTTATGTATTCTCAGTACATGAACTGTTCTCTCTTTATTCAAAACCTTAAGATATGTCTTCTTAATTAAAAAATTATTTTATATGTGTGGGGGTTTTGTTTGAGTGTTTGTGCATCATATGCATCCCCGATGCCTGCAGAGGTCAGAAGAGGCCATTCAATCCCCTCAACTAGAGATACAGATGGTTGTGAACCACCATGTGGGTGCTGGGAATCAAATCCTGCTCCTCTGTGAGAGCAGCAAGCGGTATTTATCTTTTATTTAAAATAGATTCCCTTCTCATACAATACATCCGATCATAGTTTCCCCTCAACTCCTTCCAGTTCTTCTCCAACTCACTTCCCCGACAGATCCACTCCTCCTCAGCCTCTCATCAGAAAAGAATAGGCCTCCAACAGATAACAACCAAACACGACAAAATAAAATATAATAATGTAGAGCAAAACTATCACATTGCAGTCGGACATAGCAACCCAACAGGAGGAAAAGAGTCTCGAGAGCAGGCAAGCATTAGGGATCCCCGATTCACAGAGTTTCAGCAAGTGCTGTTAGCCGCTGAACCGTCTCTCCATCTTTGCCAAAAGACTTTGGAGCCTAAGTAAGACCACCATCTTGTATCACTGTACCTTAGCTTGTGTTAGCTTCTAGAAAATAGAAGAGGAAGTAGCACAATCTCACATCACTGTATCTCAACCCATGCTAACCTATAAGAAATAGGAGGGGGATCAGGGTCTTCTTTAGGTCTCTAGGGAAAGTTTTCTCTTTCAAGTTGTCCTGTGTTCAATTCCATCCTTTTGAAAGGAATAGAGTCTTTTATGTCAACATCTAGAAACATACCAAAGCCTAAATTTGAGTTAGTTCAATTTCAGGCAATAACAGCTTTTGATTTCTCTTTGATATTACTTTTGAGCTGGGTGTTGGTGGCACACGCCTTTAGCCCCAGCACTCGGAAGGCAGAGGCAGGTGGATCTCTGTGAGTTTGAGACCAGCCTGCTCTACAAGAGCAAGTTCCAGGACAGTCTTCCAAAGCTACACAGAGAAACCCTATCTTGAAAAAACAAAACAAAACAAAACAAATGAATATTATTCTCGGACAAAGAACAGTCTGAAACTCAAAATGTTTTTAGTACTAATGTAACTTTGTTAGTTATTTGAGTTTTGTATTATGTATTTTGCTCATATTCACTTCCTCTCTCTCCCCAACTCCTCCCAATCCACCCCTGCTATACTATATTTCTAACTTTACAGTTGTTATGTTTAAACCTTTCAATTATTCCCAAAGAAGCCACGAGGCTGTAGGTATAGCTTAGAGATGTGGTGCCTGTCTAGGCCCTGGGCTGGATCCTTACTTTCCAAGCAAAAAAGAAAAATCCTGCAGAAGCCTTGTTTGTTATTCTTAAAGTTTGACAGGCTTCTTCTAAGGCCAACCTAACATAGCAACTATGAACTGTACTCGGCTTGCTAAAGTTCTTTCTTCTTGGAACCATTTTTATATCAGATTCCTGTTATGTGGTTAGTAGAGCAACCAGAACATGATCAGGCTTAGAATGATTTAATTGTTTGTCTTCTAAGTGGACAAGTGCTTTTTAAAAATAAGTTGCCGTGGTTTTCCTTTCTTCCAGTCAGTGCGGACCACAGTTACTTAACTAATCTAAATGAAATGTCTTCTCTCCCAAAAAGATGATTTTTCAGTGTAGTAGTTATGAATATATAAATAAGGGCTCATTAACTGGAAATTGCATGGTGAAATTTAGGCAAAGAACTATAGTGAGGGAATAGACTTAGAACTTCCAAGTTTCAGCTATGAGGCTGTAGTTGCGACTTTTGTCTATGTACAACTCTTTGCTTAATTATTTCACTAAAGTATGTGCTAAAACTAGAGTTACAGTTTATCTTCATTTCCCAAGCATATTGTCTTTATACTGTTTTTAAATGCATGAATTGTATTTATTAAAAAAATGAAGTAAATTAATTCTCAGGAGAGGAGTGAGCAGTATTGGAAAACTGGAGAGTCAGGCACGTGGGCGTCAACACCCTTGTTTCTCATCTGCAAATGAAAAGCCGTAAATCAGAACTAGTGCAGGTTGCAGCGGGTGCAGCTTCCAAGCCTGCAGGCGTCTGCTCCTTTAGCAGAGCCGACCATGACATGCTTGACTCTAATTTGCTGTCTGTCTTAAAAACTGAAATATCTGCCTCTCCTGCCCTTCCCTGCTTTTAAAAAGGAAGCTGATTTCTTTCTTAATAATTGGCTTTTTTTCTTTTCTTTTTGTACAGAAGTATTGAAAGACTACATCAAACCAGGTGGGCAGTGTTTGGAATTGTTTGCTCGAAATTTACAGCCAGGTTGGATGAGTTGGGGCAACGAGGTCCTCAAGTTTCAGCACGTGGATTATTTCCTTGCTCTGCAGTCTGGACGCTGACTGTAAAAGTTGGGCTGTGTTTCCCCAGCTCCTTCAGACCCATTTGTCTTTGTACCAGTCAATGTGCTTAGAAATGTACACAGACTTTGTTTTTTCAACAAGTGACTATCCTTCCGGCAATTTTGAGATGAATTCTACTTCAGTTGCACTCATATCCCGCACCATTCCAGATTTTCTACGATTAAAGAGGTAAGCAGTTAGTGGAAAGACCTACCTCTGCTACAAGACGAATTTGGAAAGCATGTACTGTGGACTCCAGGTCATGAACTTGCCTATGGATATTGTTTATTTGGTGGTGTTAAAAAATAAATGGAAGCCTCATTCCAGAGTCAGAAAGTATTACCTGAGTCCAGATGTCTGCACGTGTTTAAACATCAGACACTCCAGCTCCTTTGGAGCCTGTGTCCTGGCAGCTCAGCTGGGAAGGGCCATGTGCTCTCCAGTCTCCCAATGTGCAGTTTCTGCCATGCTGCAGCCTCTGCTATATCAGAAAAAGTGCTGACCAGATAGTTGGTGTGTGCGTGTGCTGAACAGTTTCCACAGTTTGGGAATGTTTCCCTTGTATTTACGGTCACTGTTTAAGCACTCCTTTTTTTTGCCTTTTTCTAGAGGACAACTTAAAGATATTTCTTATAGGATGTCAAGAAATAAACACTGCTTATATATAGTTATGAAAAACTGTTTAGATTATAGATTTTATACAAATAAATATTTTTCTACCAAGGTGGTTTTCTTTTTCTTTCTGTAGTGCTGAGGACTGAATCCAGGGCTTCACTTATGCTAGGCAGACATTTTGCCATTGAGCTAGACCTCTACACTCTAAAATTTCCTCTACCTACCTACCTACCTACCTACCTACCTACCTACCTACCTATCTACCATCTTTATCTGTCTGTCTGCCTGCCTGCCTGCCTGCCTGTCTGTCTCGGTTTTTCGAGATATGATTTCTCTGTATAGCAGCTCTGGCTGTTCTGGAACTCACTATGTAGACCAGGCTGGCCTTGAACTTACAGAGATCCACCTGCTCTGCCTTCCTAGTGCTGGGATTTAAGCTGTGTGCTACCACTGCCTGGCTTCCAAAATGTTTTGATTAAAAGGATTCTTTGGAAAGCATGTTGATAATATGTACTCAAAAATTATACATTTTTTTAATTGAAAAAAATTCATATAGTATATTCTAATCATGGTTTCCCTTTCCCAGCTCCTCTCAGATCCTCTCCACCTCCCTATCTGTTCAACTCCATGCCCTTCTTTTTTTCCCTCTTTAGAAGACAAACAATAGAATTCACCCGTTTCCACTGTGCAGTGTGTTATACATCATACACAGTTGTCCACACATGGCCCTTTGCAATGACCCTTTGCACAGGTCCCTTTCTCCTATCCCTGACCCCTGGCAAACAGTGATTTGTTTTCTCACATTAATTCTTTTTTTTTCTTATTAATACAGTATTTATTTGTCTTCTCTCTGTCAAACCCTGAGCCAAGCACTTTCCCCAGACTTCCCGGGGAGGTACAGGAAAAGAAACACACAGGGCAGACGGGACATGAAAAAGCTATGGAGGTGGAAGTGGAGAAGGCTGCTTCACATGGCGAAGAGGATGAGAAAGGCCACCATCAGGCAAAAGAGCCCCATGGCCTCCTTGAGAGGGCAAAGCCCAGAATTGCGCAGGAGAAGAGCTATTGCTTCAGAGAAGGGTTCCTGGCATAACCAATGATGAGGCTCCCAAAGACAGTCCCAATCCCAGCCCCAGAGCCAGCTACCCCAACTGTGGCAGCCCCAGCCCCAATGAACTTGGCGGCTGTGTCGATGTCCCTGGAAATGACGTTGGTTTGGAAGCTGTGGCTAGGGATGAGTGAGGTCAGAGAACGAGGGGCTGCCAAGCTGCTGAGGCCCTCATCTGTCCTCGTCTGTGGTCGATTCAACTCCACTGCAGACAGGGGACGACTCAGCAGCTGAGAGGTGCTCCTGATCAAGGAGCGGGTGGAGATGAACTTGGAGCAGGCATACATTTTCAGGGGTGAGGGGCCAAGGCAGGAGAGCTGCTCCCAGAGTAGAGAAGACAGAGAGGGTAATTCTTCTTTTTTAGAAATTCATAGTCATATGGTTGAAGAACTGTTGTGTCTGGCTTCTTTTACTTAGCATTTAGGAAAAGCATTGATAATGTTTATACATTGCTCACTGTTTACTTAGGAAGTGGTTAGACTGCAATTACTTTGACCAACTTGCTTAGTTTTCTTGTCAGTTTCTTCAGAAATTATTTTTGAAGTTTGTTTATCTTTTGAGGGTGAAAGGTTAATATCAGAAACTTAATTTTGTGCTTGTAGATGTAGCCTGGCTTGTTAATTAAATGGAAAAAAAGCACTAAACTTGAAGCAAGCTTTTCAGGATTTCATTAGAAATTATTCTCAGCTTCTTGTATTTATACATTTTTTGAGTAGTTTATGGAAGCATTTATTATTAGCATGTTTTTGGAATTTTTTAAAATCATGAATATTGGTCCTTGAAAGGGAAGTAATTTTTACTCAGTGAGCCCTGTATTCATCGGGCAGGAGTTAAAGTGTCAGCTCTAACTCTAAGTTCTATCACCCCTGGGCCTAATTATTAAGCTTTGTTGACAAAAGAGTGACTGCAGAGTCTACAGAAGCATATCTTACGTGCCCCAGGAGAAAACAAGTGTGTAGTGTGGACACTGTGCTTGCTATTGTTATCATTCAGTTTTAGCCAACTGACCTGATAAACTTATTTTGAGATTTTTTTTTCATAAAGGACTTTATATGTTACATTGTAACTTCTCATTAGGAGTGGTGGTGTATACCTGTATCATCAGCACTTGGGAGGTAATTGGAAAAACAGTGCCATCTTCAGCTATACTGTGAGTTGAAAACTAGCCTGGACTGTAGAAAAGCCCTCTCTACAAACAAAATAAAATATCAAACCTCAAAAAACGTCAACAACAGTAGAACCATCAACAAGCCAACTAGCTCAGCAACACAAACAAGAAGTCTTTGTAACTTCTAAGAATTCTTTGGTCTTTCAATGCACTGTCATAGTTTGCTTCTAGGTTCAAGATCCCTTTGGGGTTTTGTAATGACACCTGTATTTAAGCTGGTTGTGGCCTTTAATCCCAGCACTTGAGGTAGAGATAGGCAGATCTCTGAGTTCAAGGCCAGCCTAGTCTACAAAATGAGATCCAGGACAGCCAGGACTATACAGAGAATCTCTGTCTCAAAAATCAACCAACCAGCCAGCCAGCCAACCAACCAGCCAAAACAACCTGGGCTGAAGGGTGGAGCTAACATTAACTGAGTAGTGTAGTTTCTCTTTGTTGTACTTTTTCACGTTTTACTTCGTTTACTCCTTGCATAGCTCTAAGAGGTAGATACCATCTTTAGTTGTTAGTTGGCATAAGTAAAGCTGAGGGGACCATTTTATCTGTAAATCCAGAATTAAGTGCATTCAGTTCTGTCTGAGGCCAGTCTGACTAGATTTGAATACCAATTGACATTTAGCCATAGCAAGTTAGGCCTGAGTCTCCCTATCCACAGGCATGAACAACAGTGTTACCCTGGAGTAGCTATAAGGGTTGAGTAAAACATGCAAAAGGCACTTGTAATGATATGTGGATACCGTTGGGCACTCTGCAATGAGCATCCCAGGCTATTATGATCTGGACTGAAACTCAGGAGCTTTCAAGCTGAAGATTAGCTGTGTCCCTCTAAGCTTTCTGAGGAGTTTTCTGTCTGTATCCTTTGTCTGTTTCTATGCACCAGATGTCCTGCATCGTACCTGAATTTCTACAGAGGAATCTTTGAAATCTCTGTTCCCACTGTAGTTCTGCCTTAAAAACAAAACAACAGTCACACATGGCTTGGTACTGGCTTAGTTGTTGTCCTTGCTCTGCCTTAACTGTGGGCTTTATTTGCTTTGTCCCATCCCAGTTCTCAAACTCATCCTCGCTAGACTCCCAAGTTTTCCTTTTCAAGCTTCCCACTCTGGAGACAGTTCACCTTTTGAGACACACTCTCAAGATGTAGCTCAGGTTGGCCTTGAACTTTCCTCCTACATTGGGTTACAGGCATGGGTGCGTTTCCACACCAGGCTCTAGACACACACCCTGAAAAGATTTTTAGTTACAGGAACACTAGGTTAGATTTTTCTACTGATTTACGCATTGTGGGAGATTCTTTGTCCCAAATGAACACACAGAGATGCAGTGTTAATTATTGAACTGTTGGCCAATGACTAGGACTTCTTATTGGCTAGCTCTGTCTTAATGATTAACCCATTTCTAGTAATCTATGTATTTCCACGTGGTCTTATCTTACTGGAGAATGCCTGGTGCGTCCTTTCTTCCCAGTCCTACATGGCGATTGTCTCTGGAGGGCTCTCCTGCCTACCTTTCCCAGAATTCTCCTCGTCTCCTAGTCACGACTTCCTGCCTCATTGGCCAGACAGTGTTTTGTTCACCAGCCAATAAGAGAAACATATGCAGAAGGACATCCCCCATCAGATATGACTTAAAATATTATAACCATTTCAAAGGACCTTCTGTGGGTTGTCCCCCCTCCCCCAGTTTTTAAAAAGTATTATCTCTGTGTGCATCCTGTGTGTATGCCTGATGCCGGTCGAGGTCCAAAGAATCACTGGATCCTCTGGAGTTACAGATGATTGTGAGCCACCATGCGGGTGCTAGAAATTGAACCTGGGTTCTTTAGAAGAGCAAGCGGGGCTCTAACCTGCTGAGCCATCCTAAGCCCTGGGCCTCACAGCCTTTGAAGATACTGCTGCTTTTCACTTCATTTTTTTCTCTCCTGCACTACCCGCCTGTCGAATGCTGGGAAGTGCCCGAGCACTGTGTGTATGCATAGTTACCTGTTTACCGTTCATCTTGCCTTATCCTCAGCACATGCTTTTGGAGACAGAGCTAAAACGAGGGAGCAGGTTCTCAGGCTAATTGATATGCCTAGAGACTAAGACTTCCATTCTATTTGGGTTTCTTCACTGAAGGCACTTTATGTTGTGTCACTTGCTAATGAACCTGAGATGCTTATTTATTTTCACTTCCAGTTTTTAAGATTTTGGTTTGGGGCTGGAGAGATTGCTCAGAGGTTAAGAGCACTGACTGCTCTACCAGAGGTCCTGAGTTCAATTCCCAGCAACCACATGGTGGCTCACAACCATCTGTAATTCAATCTGGTGCCTTCTTCTGGCATGTATTTGTAATAAATAAATAAATAAAAAAGATTTTGGTTTACGGGTGTCTTGCTTGCATGTATATATGCGTACCACATGTGTGCTTGGTGTCAGCAAAGGCCAGAAGAGGATGTTGGATCCCTTCGAACTGGAGTTACAGCTGCCCCATCGGTGCTAGAAGTTGAACAGCGAGTACTCTTCACCCGTTTTCCCTGAACCTGAGATCTTAGTAGCAGTCTTATTCGTTCCTAACCAGAGGGCTCATTGTGTAGCCTGGGGTGTGTTTAGAATGCTTCCTCTGTTATCACAGAAATATACCTTCTTCAATGTGCTGGAGCATTCCTAACACAATGTTTCTTGCTACATTTTATAGGCGAACCCATAGCCCGAGAGAGGTTTAAAATCTAATGGGCTGCTAAATGTTTTGACTAAGCCGTTAGCATTACCATGAGGTTGGACTTATCCACTCAGTCACATTTTAAGGACGTCCTACACAACACCGAGTACAGATGGTCAAAAGGGGGGGGGA